TCTCAGGAAAAACCCTCAGAGCCTCAACTGCCACCACCGGCTTTCCACAAGCCTCTCTCTCCCACACACGCTTCTTTCCACCTCCCACAATCCTCCTGCTCTTGAGGCCGATTGGCTGGGTCACGTGGGCGGAGCCAAAAAAGTCCCCCAATGAGCAGCTCCGTGGTCTGAAAGGGCAGGGAAACAGCCCAATGAGCATCACCGCAGAGGAGCCAATCAGCTAGATGTTGCTGGGGCCGAGGAGCCAATCAGCTAGATGTTGCTGGGGCCGCTGTGAGCCAATCATCAGCCAGCAGCTGGAAGTTTGCTGGCAGCTGGAAGTTTGCTGGGGTCCCTTTGGCTGTGGCTCTCAACAATTTCTAAGTGATATGAATATGCTAGAATAAGAAATGGTAGTTTCTGTGTAAACCATCCCCAAGACATAGCCATGGTTAAAAGTTAACACTGGGGAGCTGGAGTTGTGGCTCATTGGTAGAGTGCTTGTGTAGCATGTGTGAGGCACTAGGTTCAATCCTCAGCACCACATAAAAAGTGAACAAATAAAATTGCCGCAGTCTGGCTGGGCACAAATCACCGAGCCGCCACAAAGCACTTGTATGTTCAAACAGGAAACTTTATTGCTTGAACTCCAACAGCACTCCCCGGGAACTCTCCCGAACGCCACCCATGCGGCTCCTCCCTGGCACACCACACCAGCCGGAATTCCCTCCACCGGAACTTCACCAACCAACGCGAACTCCCCAGGAATCCTTGTGAGAACTCCAAAGTAGCGGGTGCCCAAGGCGGACAGCAGGGGTCTCTATACAATTGAATCAATCCAGCATCATCTTAATGGCTCGCCTCTTAACCATTACTTCTGGCAAAATGCCAAGCGTCATCCCAACTCGGCTGTGGCCCTCAACATAAAATAAAGGTATTGTGTCCATCTACAACTAGAACAAGTTAGTGTACATATTTGCAAGCATTTATGCATTATAAATTAGCACACATACATATGCAGTAGATGGGTTCATATAATAAATGCATTCTATCCTATAGTCTGCTTTTTACTTAACAAGATACCATGGCATATTTCTATGTTAGTGTGCCTTTTTTTTTTTTTTAATGACTCAGTCTTCTATTACTAGACATTAAGGTATGTCCAATATTTTCTCATAGTAAGCAATGTTGAAATAATTATTTTTGAACATACATACATCTGTGTGCACATATTAAATGCATATCTTTAATGTTGCACATTGTTAAACGTTGACCCCTCTATGAGAATGTTGATTGAGGGGCTAAAGTGTGTGGCATAAATATGCTTGATGAACCAAACAGATATGTCCCCTGCCTGGGGTGGAGCTTTGGGTCTGGTGGAAAGACTCACCGTTGAAGAGGTAAATGATGGATAGTTGCAAATGGTGATCAGTGATGAGCAGGAAGTACATAAATGCAATGTGGAAACAACAGGGACCTATTTAGATAAGCAACCAGGGAAGGCCTCTGAGGAGTGATATTCAAGCTGAGAGTTTAAAGATGAGAAGAGTCCAGGCCTTGTAAAGACTAAGTGCATAGGCAAACCACCTAGGGAAGAAAGAGCTTTGATACTTAACGAGCTAAAAGGAAAGGATGGGGCAGGCTGGGTCCAGACCAGGCCCTGTGGGGCATGCTGGAGCATTCAAGTTTCATTTTATTTCCTGGAGAGTCATATGAAAGCAACAAGTAAGGGTATCCAGGAATGTACAAGTTTGTATATCTTATTCTATTGGAATATACAAACCGACCAATGTATAAAGAGAAAACATTTATAAATGGAATTTAACATGGGATAAAAGTGCATATTTCGACATTTGTGGCCCATAATTTTATTTATTGAAGTTTCTCTTTATATTTTAATATCTGTTAGAGAAATATTCCCTCATTTTTCTATTTCAACATTTTTGGGTATTTCCCCATGTTTACTTATCAAACAAGCTTTAAAGTAATTTTGCCATGTTTTAGCTCACTCTTCACCCCCAAATCACATTGATCCTTTGATGTGGATTTATAAATTTATAAATTGATTTGGGCATATATGATTTTTTTTAAATGTTGAGACGTTCTATTCAAGGATTTGTTATATTTTTCCACTTAAAAACATTTTCTTTTTATGCCCTTCAATAAGACTTTATAGTTTTCTAATGTACCTTACTATTTCTTGTTAAGCATATGTTTAACACATGACTTTGAATATTTATTGTTAATGTGAATATATTTTTTTGCATCACACTTCCTAAATGGCAATCCCTAGTCTTTAGTGTCATACATGGGGGAATCCTACAAGTAATGCCTCTCTCCCTTCTGAGTTTAGAACAAACTGAAGCATAGATAGAAGAGAGGATAGGACATAAAAACATTACCTGTATTATTGATAAGTATGATTAAAAGGTGTAGCTTTTGATCTGTAGCTAAGTAGGTTTAGCATATTCCTCCTTGAAGTAGATAGATTTAGTCTTATAGTTGCAGGAATTATAGGACAATAATATCTCTCTCAGAAACAGGTTCAGTTACTGAATAGTGAAAGCACATAAAAATATTTATGACTGCTTTCTGCAGTCAGCCAAATCCAGATTCACAAAGGGAACTCAGAATCCTCTGTTCTCCAATTCCTTTTCCTAAACTCATTAATCACTTCTTCTAAACTCACTCATCCTCCCAGAAGGTGAGAAGGCCAGGAGTCAAATTCTAATGTAAGTTCCTCTATTTGGAAAAGAAAACTTCTCCCTTAACATTTAGGAAAGACATTGATTTTGCTGTTATTCTTACCTAAGTCTGTAATATTTTTAGCTGGATTCTCTTGATTTTTATTCTTAGAGAAACACTTAAATCATGAGCAAATAATGAAAGTGTTCTCTTCCTTCCCAGTATTCATATCTATTATTTTTCTTATCTTATTGCATTGGCTTTAGGTTGTAACAATTATAGCAGGCATCCTTATTTTGTTTCTGATTCAACTGAGAATACTTTTCTTTTAATATTTATTTTTTTAGTTATAATTGGACACAATACCTTTATTTTATTTGCTGTTTTATGTGGTGCTGAGGATTGAACCTAGGGCTTCAAATGTGCTAGGTGAACATTTCTCTGCTGAGCCACTAGCCCAGCCCTCAGCTGAGAATACTTTTATTATTTCACCTTTATACTTGTTTTCCATCATACTTTCTAAATCACTGATATTTAGTGTTGTTGCTGGCTTCTGATACAAAACTTTGTCATAAGAAGTTTAAATTTTCCTCCTAGTTTACTATTTTTAAAAATTTATAAGTCATTGATGTTGAGACTTAACAAATACTTTTAAATATCTATTCTGTTGGTAGTAATTCATGACTTATTTACTTTTAACAAGACAATATATTCACAGATTCCTTAATATTGAATTTAATCTTTCCACTTCTGGAATATATATGGATTGATCATGGTGGATTTTGACTTGTTTTTCAAGTCAACTGAATTCAAATTGATAAAATTTTATTTAATCACATTGCAACTATTATACACCTAAGTGTGTCGATTCACATATTAGAGACTAATCAATGAGCTTTGGAATGGTGGTCCTGGCCCAGATGAATTGGGAAAATGCCAGGTTAAACAAACCAAACAGGGTTCTTTACTCCTAGACTTCACTGAGACCTCAATATACTAACACTGTGATTCTCTAAAAGGTAAACTACAAGTGGCATGCAGTACTTTTTTAAGTTATTAGACTACAGAAGCCCCTTTTCAATAAGCACACATTAAATTCTCCAGGGAGTATTTTTCTAAACTTATCAGCAGTTCTCCTTTCTGGTATTATCCTTATTGAATTTTAGTATGAGGTTTATGCTAAATCTGGAAAATTAAAAAAAAAATTTGTCTTTTTTCATTCTCCCCCCCCACTCCTCCCGTGGTTAACAGTTTAAATAACACAGGGTTGTCTGTCCCTTGATGGTGTGATAGAACTTACTATAAAACTATCTGAGCCGGTGGCATTTCTGAGTGATACAGATGCTTGGAATGTGTGCACTTGAGTGGCTTCCCCACAGGATGTTTTCCTCGACAGCCAATTCTGCTTGGCATCCTTCTCTTTAGGATCAAGCTATTTTGGAAAAGCCTAGAATGTGTGAAAACGAGACTAAATGCATTAGCAAATTGATGCTGATCACTCCTGCATGGTCCTCTGCTCCAAATGAGCCAGCTTCCTGGCCAGCACCCTTTGAAATGACACACCCCTCTGCCTGGGGCTGCTGGCGGGGGCTTTGTAGGCATATTTGGTTAAGCAGGGAAAGGTCTGGTCTGGTTTTCCTTCCAGCCGCTCTAGCTGAGGGTTCAGCTCTGGAGCCCCCCTCCTCAGCCAGCTCCATTCCATCCTCTGGCTTGTACCTTTCTCCAAGTACCGCAGGGGCAGGACTCCTGCTTAAACCTCTTGCTCTAGAGCTTCCTTGAGGCCGGCCTCCCAAACCTAGCTCTCGGCCAGTGTGGGTAAATCATTTCCCCAAACCAGGGAGGCCGAGAGCCGCTGGGAGATCGGGGTCAAGGAGGCCAGGCTGAGCCCGCGTTAGGGCAGCGGGGCGGTGGGAAGAGGCCAGGGGCTGCCCGGGGTCAGTGAGGCCTGAAGGGCTGGTGGGCGGGTGTCCCTCCCTGAAGAGGCCACTCGGCCCGGGGCTGCCTGGAACCCGCGGCCGAGCAGGACGGCTCCAGGGGCGGCGAGGCCTAGGCGAGCCCAGCCGGGCGAGGCCCCGAGAGGCTCGGCGCGGGGAGACCAGCCGACGCCAGAGGCGGCGGGGCCCGAGCGCCGGGGCGCCCAGGAGGGCCGCGGTGGGCGGCGGCGGCGCGGGCTCGGGACGCCTGGGCTCCGCTCTCCCGCCCGCCGGAGCCAGCCGCGGGCGCCCAGCGCCTCCCCCGGAGCCCGGCCCGCCGCCGCGGCCCGCGGAGGAAGCCGCCGCCGCCAGGCCGCGCCCCGCCCCTGCCGCCGCCGCGCCCCCGGTGAGGCTCGCGCTCGAGCTGCGGCGCCGGCTGCCGCCGCCTGGGCCCCGGGCCCGGCCCCTCCCGCGCCGCCCGGGCGATGAGAAGCTGCTTCTGCGTGAGACGGAGCCGGGACCCGCCGCCGCCGCAGCCGCCGCCGCCGCCGCCCCAACGGGGAACAGTTAAGTGAGGCCGGGCGGGCGCCGCGGAGGCTCGGCCCGGCCGGCTCTGCCTGCCCCGGGGCGGGCGGGCGGGCCGCGGGCCCAGGGGCGGGCGGGCGGGAGGAGCCGGGCCGCGCCGAGGCCTGCGGGCTCCGTGCCCGGCCCGCCGCGGGGACAGACCGGGCGGCCTCTGCCGGGCCCAGCGCGCGCCGCGGCTTCGCGTCCCCGGCCCGGCCTCGCGGCGGGAGGCGGGAGGGAGCTGGGGGACCGGGTGGAAGCAGCACCCCCGGGCCCGGCGCAGGTGAGGGGCCCACCTGGCATCGGCTGGGCACAGTCGCTTGACCCTCCAGGCCCGGGGTCCGGCTCTCTGCGGTCACGTGGGTGCAGACCAGAGTGCACCTGACCCTTAGGCATATTCTGGGGCGTTGGCCTGTGTGACCTGGGCGCAGCAGAGAACATTCACACCTAGGGCACCTGTGTGTGAGGTGAGATGTCCCGCTTGGGCGCTCCAGACCCAGAGCACCCATCCAGAAGGGCATGCTGATAAGCACCCTGCAGTCGCTCCAGTGCAAGTGAGGCACCAGGGCCAGGGGCTGGGACATAGGACCAGGGAACATCAGAACCTAAGAGACAGGCATGGAGAACAAGGTAGACCCAGGATCATCTTTGTCCTCTTTGTTACCAGCACACAACTGTTCCTAAATCATCAGCCTTTCTCTCCACTAAAGATGCAGCTTCTATCCCCTGTCCTCCAACAGCCTGTTCAACAGGGCACAGAGGAAGACCACAGGAAAGCATAAAGCAAATGGCTGTTGCCCCTTCTTCTGCTCCCTGCCCCCACCCAAGAACCAGAGGCCCCTGGATTTCAGCCACAAAAGCAGACAGCAGGCCAGCTCCTCTTTAGGGGCCTTTGTCTCTGGTGGTTCCTTCTCAGTATAATCTCATTGTACATTTCTCGACAGCTGGCTGGATCTCATCTCATTTTAACAGGGCTAGCAAATCTTATCAGCTGCACCAGAAAAGCCTTAGAAAAGTTAGAAGATAAGCTCTGCATAGATCCAGACTAACTGAAAAATCTTAGTGTACTCGAGAGGTTAGTTACAAGAGCTGGTGACACCTTTCTCGCTGGAAATCTTGTAGGGTGCTTTGAGGAATTGTGCCATGCTCAGAATATCTAAGTGGAGCCTCTGAGAAATGGGGCTTCTGCAGGGACCTGGGCAATACCCATGTAGAGCAGTTGATGTGGCAGTGACCAGTTCCTTAGAACCTAAAATCATGTAATCTATATTTTTTTGTTCTTTTCCTTTTTGCTTTTAGGTCTCTGATGTAGGCTAAAGGCATTTTCCATACCCTGCCTGTGTACTGCTGGTGGGCCTTCTCCACTTCTAGAATATTGCATCATGGTTAAATGCAAGGGCTTTAGAATTAGACCTCAGGCTAAGTCTTGACTTTCTTATCTACTGTGTGTAATTGAGCAAATTAATAAGCCTTTCTGAGTCTAGTTTCCTCATCTGCAGAGTGAGGCTAATGTCTGTGTTTTATTTTTATAGGATCATAAAGTATTGCAAGAAAAATTTAGCTCAGTACCTATCATGTGACAAGCAATCAATAAAAGTTGGCAGTTATTATTAAGTGTTTGTTAATGGACTGATCCAAAGAGAAGCTCATTTATTTATTTATTTTTAGAGTGGTGTGTTTTTGTTTGTGCGCTCCAGACCCAGAGCACCCATCCAGAAGGGCGGATTATTTCATTCTTATCATTAGGAGTTAATGGTATTGTAGAGTGAACACTGGGTTTCGGTTTGTATTTCAGACTATCTCTGGGACCCTAGGTGACCCTAGGGAAGTCAGGGAACTTTTCTGAATTCCTATTTTCTTAACTGTAAATATGACTTACAAATAAAATCTACCCCTAAGGGAAGATTTGAATGAGCTAATGGACGTGACTGCACTTGGCCCTTTCAGAGATGGGGGTCCTCATGAAATTTAAATAGTATCCAGCAGTAGGTTCCGGTTCTATGGGTCTAATACTCAAATAATTTATTGGCAATGACTGGACTATCAGCAAAAGAATTCAGGAATGTCGTGGCTTTGTATGTGTTACAAAACTCGGCCATGTGAACTCTGAGGGCCTTGGAAGAGGTAAGGGAGTTCTGTGGCCTCTCTGCTTCGGAACCCTAGGGGCCCTGGCTGCAGCAGGCTGGAAGTGCTCTTTGCTTCATGCCCAAAGAGCGACGTCCTCACCGCACTGCAAAGTAATGGTGGTGTTGGAGTGGAGCTTGGGAGGTGCCATTACGAAGATAACAAATGACTTCATGGCTGGGATGTCTTCAGGCTGAGGGCACTGGTTGGTGGCCGTGGCTGAATGAGCAGAGCCTCCTTTGCCAGTCAGGCAGTGAGGGGTTCCTTGAAAGAGCTGCTCCTCCCAGGCTCTTCTCCCTCTCCCAGGCCCTCCTGGCCAGTGAATCCCTGGCCTCAGGGCTCTCCTCGGCCTTCTGCTCCCAGGGCCACTGTTGGGAGTTGTGATTTCCCTGTGTAGTGTGCACTGCTTGCAGTGGCCTTGCCTGAGTCAGATCTCTCTTCAGCTGCCTGGGAAGCAAGGCCACTGCGGGGTGTGTGTGACATTACCTCCCTTGTTGGGGACATCCTGTGGACATGTGTTTGGTTTATTTGACATGCTTCTGGCAAGATGTGGAGCTCCTCCAGGCAGAAATGTGAGAGCCCTGTGGGCTTGGAGCCCAGGCCGCACACAGGGGCCTTATAGCTCCAGGTTCCCCAGGACGGGAGAGCCACCTCCTTGCTGTGGCTGGAACCTGCCTGAGGTTGTTCTCTTGCTCTTTGTATGTAGATATACATCTACGTGCACACACTTGCTTAAAACATGGATGCTGAGCAGTAGCGCAGAGTCTTCAAAAGATCATCCCCTTATCCTTCAGAAGAAAGTCATAAAGGGGTTCTTAATGAGCCAAGTTACCTGGGTGTTTATGACAATGTTGATTCCCGGGTTTTAGGCCTAGACTCTTGAATTAGATTCTCTGGGGAAGGAGCCCTGGAACATGCAAGTTTAACAGACTCGTGGGCTGAACTTATATTTGCTGAAATTTGAAAACCACAGTTCTGGATACTTTCTAAAAAATTGTTAAGGGGCTGGGGATGTGGCTCAAGCGGTAGCGTGCTTGCCTGGCAAGCGTGCGGCCCGGGTTCGATCCTCAGCACCACATACGAACAAAGATGTTGTGTCCGCCGAAAACTAAAAAATAATCATTAAAAAATTCTCTCTCTCTCTCTCTCTCTAAAAAAAAAAAAAAACAACAATAAAAAATTGTTAAATGCACACGCCATAAAATTTGGCATCTTAGCTATATTTAAATGTAGTGGCAGTAAGTACATTTCACACTGTTGAACAGCCGATCTCTAGAACTTTTTCATTTTGCAAAACTGAAGCTCTGTACCCCCTAAAACTCCCCATTTCCCTTCCCCTTGGCTCTTGGCAGCCACCCTTCTGCTGTGTCCCTCTGAGTTTCTGACTCTGTGCCTTCCTGAACAGGCAGGACCATATAGATTTCACTTTTTGTGACTGGCTTGTTTCACTTAGCAAAATATCCTATACCGTAGCTTGGGTCAGATTTTTTTCCTTCCTTTCAGAGGCTGACTAATATTCTGTTGAATGTGTCTTCCAGGCTTTGTCCCTCCACCTCTCCACAGGTGGGCGCTCGAGTTGCTTCCATGTTTTGGCTATGAACACAGGTGTTCCAGTATTGCTTTGAGACCCCACTTTCAATTCTATTATATGGAAATTTTATTTTTTATTTTTTGGGGGAACTAGCACACTGTTTTCCATAAAATGATGGCTACCCTTTTTGTTTGTCAACAAGCTTCCCCATTTTTTCCACCGCTTTGGCAGTAGTTTCTTGGTGCTTTGTTTTATTTTTTGGTAGTGGCTGTCCTGATGGGTGTGAGGTGAGAGCCTGTGGTTTTGCTCCTAACTTGCATTTCCATAATGACTAGAGGTGTTGAATGTCTTTTCATATGCTAACTGGCCATTTGTATATCATTTTGGGGGAAATGTTTGTTCAAGTCCTTTGCCCATTTTAGTTGGCTCATTTACTTATACACAATAGTGGGATTCATTGTGATACCCATGTATGCCTGTCACATAATGTGGCCCATTTCCCAGTACTTCCCCTTTCACTTCTCTCCTGCTTCTCTCCAGTCCTCTATTCTACTGGCTTCCCTTCTGTTGGCAGGAAAAGCCTCTTTTCTCCCCTTTCTTTCTAGCATCCATAGATGAGAGAAAGTCATGACTTTAATTCTTTTGGATAAATACTGAGTAGAATAGCTGGGATATATGGTAGAGCCATTCCTTGTCTTTTGAGGAACTCAGAATACTTGACTTTCTGTTATTTCATTCCAGTTTCATCTATTTCCTGCAAATGATGATCTAAATTCTTTATGGCTGCATAAAACTCCAGTGTGCATATACATCATGTTTTCTGCGTCCCTTCATCTGTTGATGGGTATCTAGGCTGATTCCAGAGCTTGGCTAGTGCAAATTGTGCTGCTATAAACACGGATATGCATGCGTTGTGGAAGTATGCTGACTTTAATTCTTCTGGGTAAATACTGAGGAGCAGGATAGCTGGGTCATATGGTGGTTCCATGCCTGGTCTTTTGATGAACCTCCATACCGATCTCCATAGTAGTTGTACTAATTTACAACTATAAATTGTATAAGTGTATAAGTGTTCCTGCACACTTGCCAGCATTTATTATTATTTATATTCTTGATAGCTTCCATTCTTAGCTGGAGTGAGATGAAATCTTAGTAGTGTAGTTCTTTTTTTTTCTTTTTTGTACTCAGTATTGAATATAAGGGTACTTAACCACTGAACCACATCCCTGGTCCTTTTTATTTTTATTTTTTTGAGACAGGGTCTCGCTAAGTTGCTTAGGTCCTTGCTAAGTTGCTGAGGCTGGCTCTGAACTTCAGATCCTCCTGCCTCAGCCTCCTGAACCTCTG